GCACTGTTGAGGTCATTACTGCAGATTGGCCTTATCTTACTATTTAGAATACTATTGATAGTAGCCTTAATTAAATGCTTTAAGAGACAAATTGAACAGATTTGGTTTCTCCCTTTGTTGGTCAAATTAGAGTAGCTGACTGAGTGGTGTACTTATATAAATATTTGAGTTCAGCCAAGAACATGTTGGGTGGATGTTGGGAGAGGCAATCTGCCATGAACCTACTGGTTATGCCAAGAATGTAAGGCTTTGACTACTCTTTACCTAGGGCATTTCTCAAATGTGTTTTTGCAGCAAATACTGTCTCCTTCCAAAAAAAAAAAAAAAATGCAAACTTGCTTCAGTTTACCATAAAAGTTGTGAATCACCCAAGCTCGTTGTTTTTCTCAAGCATTCATCTGGGCCCTACCTATATTACACGGTAGGACTTAGAGGGCATGAAGAGCCAGCATAAATGTGAAGCTCTGACTACTGCTCTTGTCATGTGTAATAAAGTCCTTTTTCTTTGACTCAGGAATCTATCTTCTGCTAGCACTCATGAAATGGTAGTAGGCTAACTTGCAAGCTTGTAAGTGGGGGAAATTCTCAGACTCTGCATAGTTCTTGACAACTGCAAAATTCAATTCCAGGTAGTTTTTAAGTCAAAAAGTGAAAAGCCGGGGTGCCTGGCTGGCTCATTCAGCAGAGCATGATCTCAGGGTTGTGAGTTCAAGCCCCACATTGGGCACAGAGATTATTTAATTAAAAAAAATTTTTTTTAAGTGAAAGATAAAACAACACATTTAGTTAATTTTTCCTAGAAGAAAGCATAGCAGATTGGCTTCATGAACTTAGGACAGTGAAAGAGTTCATAAACAGAATGCAAAAGAAACTTGCCATAAAGAAAACATTAGACTATACTTCAACATAAGACATGGGAAAGAGAGTGAAAAGGCAGTCCACAGAATGGGAGAATATAATTGCCACATATATAACCAACAGAAAGCTCATGTCCAGAATGGAAGAGGAACTCCTACATGTCAGTAAGTAAAATGTAGACCCAAAAGAAAACTGGGCAAGCTACTTGAACAGATACTCCACGAGAGACTATCCAAATGAACAATAAAGAAATGAAAACATGCTCAAATTAATTCATAATAAGGGGTTGCAATTTTTTTAATGTTTTTTTTATTTATTTTTGACAGAGAGAGAGAGAGACAGAGAGCCTGAGCAGGGGAGGGGCAGAGAGAGAGGGAGACACAGAATCCAAAGCAAACCCCAGGCTCTGAGCTGTCAGCACAGAGCCCAACGCTGGGCTGCGAGATCATGACTTGAGCCAAAGTTGGATGCTCAACCAACTGAGCCACCCAGGCGCCCCAATAAGGGGTTGCAATTTAAAGTCACATTGCATTGCTGCCATATATTCATAAATTGGCTACAATTAAAAAGACTGATAATGCCATGCTGACAAGGATATGGATTCCAGGAACTTTCACTAATTGAAGATAGGAATCAGTACAATCACTTCTGAAGACTGTTTGGCATGAAGCTAAACATATGCATACCCTATGAGCCAGCAATTCCACTTGTAGACATATACTTGATTAAAACAGGCACATGTGGGGCGCCTGGGTGGCGCAGTCGGTTAAGCGTCCGACTTCAGCCAGGTCATGATCTCGCGGTCCGTGAGTTCGAGCCCCGCGTCAGGCTCTGGGCTGATGGCTCAGAGCCTGGAGCCTGTTTCCGATTCTGTGTCTCCCTCTCTCTCTGCCCCTCCCCCGTTCAAGCTCTGTCTCTCTCTGTCCCCCAAAAAATAAATAAACGTTAAAAAAACAAAACAAAACAAAAAACAGGCACACGTGCACCAAAAGACCTGTCCAAGAGCATTCATATGAATATAATTTATAATAGTAAATTATAAACCACCCAAATGTTCGCTGACAATAGAAAAGACAAATTGTTCAAACAATGGAATAGTATACAGTATTAAAAATGGACTTGAACAAACTCAAAATTAAAATCAACTTGGGACACCTGGGTGGCTCAGTCAGTTGAGAGTCCAACTTCAGCTCGGGTCATGATCTCACAGTCCATGTGTTCGAGCCCCACGTCGGGCTCTGTGCTGACAGCTCAGAGCCTGGAGCCTGTTTGAGATTCTGTGTCTCCCTCTCTCTGCCCCTTCCCTGCTCATGCTCTGTCTTTCTCTGTGTCTCAAAAATGAATAAACTTTAAGAAACAATTTTTTAAATCAACTATAGCTACCTGCAACAATGCAGATGAATCTTGTAAACATGTTAGCCAAAGAAGCCAAAGAAAAATGGTAGAACAATGTTAAAACCAGACTGAATACAATCTAATGTGAAAAACATTAATGTGGATAGAGAAATTACTTACTGAGGAAAGGAATATTCTAGAAGAAGAAGAAATAATGATCATGAATTTGCAACTAACACCAAAGTCTTATTAAAAGGAATGTCATCACATACAAAGACAATTGACACATTCAGCCATGGTAGGAAATTTAATATACTACATTTTACAATTATAGAAAACAATACTCTGTTATTTACACACATATACTTTAGTAGTAAAAATATAATAAAATCATGGACAGAAACTGTTTTAAAAGCTGTTTAAAAAAAAAAAACTTCATGGTTGTGGTTGCCTCTACCAAGGGCAATAAAGAGTAAACCTATGTAGGTGTACAAAGGAGGCTTTAATTTTATCTGAAATGTTTTATGTCTTAAAGATATTTGACACAATATGATAAATAATAAATTTTAAAATTCTAGATTTATGATGCAAGGATTTTATATCATTCTATTTTATTTTTATGTATTTAAATTTTTTCATTATAAAACAGTAATGTACAAAAAGCAAAAACTAGTGGAAATGAAAGTAACTTCATACGGGATTAATCACTGGATTCTACTCCTGAAATAGTTATTGTACTATATGCTAACTAACTTGGATGTAAATTACAAAATAAATAAATAAAATAAAATATCCCCCCCCCCCAAAAAAAAGAAAGTAACTTGATTTCAAAATACAAGCATTGTATTGTAAACTAAGAATTCTACAAATTTAGTAGAAAAAATAAGAACGTAGATGAGTTGGGGCGGCTGGGTGGCTCAGTTGGTTAGGCATCATGCTCGGCTCAGGTCATGATCTCATGGTTCACGGGTTTCAGCCTCACATCGGGCTCCGTGCTGACAGCTCAGAGCCTGCAGCCTGCTTCAGATTTTGTGTCTGCCTCTCTCTCTGCTCCTCCCCCACTCGTGCTCTGTTTCTCTCTGTCTTAAAAATAAAAATAAACATAAAAAAAAGAATATAGAAGAATTAATACTATCCATAAACAATCATATATGTCCACATAATATATTTGTGTGCATACACATATACATACATGGAGAGATATAGTTAGACAAACATGCATAATGGAGAGAACATTACATCTCTTAGAGAACATACATTCTCTAAATGTTTATAGAGCAAATACAAATTCAGTCATATATTTGGCCACAAAAACAACTCTTACAAATTTAAGTCAAAAAATAGTAAAATAGGCAAAGGATATGAATAGACAATTTAGAGAAATAGGCTATCCAGGTAGCCAATAGGTTCATGAAAAGATGTCAAATTTATAGTAAATAGAGAAATGCAAATTAAAGTAATAATGTACCACTTTTCACACATAAGATTTTCCAACATTGAAGAGTAGGTAGACTTTTAAAGCAGTGGTGAGTGAAAAACTAGATAAATCTATGACAAATACCACATATATAAATTAGAAATACAAGCATGTTAAAAGGACACATACATCAAAAGGGTACATACTAGACATTAGATTCCTGGATGATGGAGGATGTGATTGGGAAATGGAGATAATGGAAATGAAAAATTAAGTAAAATAAACCTATTTCCTGAGGGATGTAGAGAAATAGGGTAGATATAATAAATATGAAGTGTTATAGACTTTCTAGAAAACAATCTGACAGCATATGTTAACATGTCCTAGAAGCAGTGGAATATCTTATATAGGAGAATGACTAAATAAATCATCCACACTGTGAAATGTTATATAGCCATGAAAGGAGCATTAGAACTATACTTGATGCTTTGAAGAATTTTGTAAGATATTATTGAGTTAAAGAGGGTATAGAAAAGAGTACACAGTGATGCCATTTTAGGAAACAATGATCACCCACCCCCCACAACCCTTTAAATGTGTATGTGTGTATGTTTGTGTGTGTGTATGTGTGTGTGTAAAAGCATAGAAAAAAATAAGAAAGAACATACACTAGATATTAGTGGGAGGAAGGAAGGGGAAAGGATCAGAGAGGGAAATTCACGAATGTAAAATTATATATATGTGGGGATATTTGTAGTCAGAAATTTAAGTAAGGTTTATATTTATTTGTTTGTTTAAAGTACGAGGTTCTCAGATAGTTGGAATTTCAGGCCACATATGAGATATGTTGGTCATATGGGTCTTGGTTATTGCCTGCTCTGATAACCCTACTCTAGGTATATACAACCCTGGTTGTTATCTCCATGATTTGTACTATTTGTGCAGTCTTCATGGTCATAGTTCTTTCATGATTTCATTACACAAATAATTTTTAAGAAAAATCATGAAAAGTTTGCTGCATGAATAGATAAAACTTGTCAATTAACAGGCCCTAGCTCACTGTTTATTTAGGAATATGTAACAGAAATGTTAGTAGTATGTCTTAGGAATTAGAGAAAAACTTAGGACTTAGAAAAAACTTTTTTTGACATTTAGAATGCATTTTAGTAAATGAGGTATGCTGAGAAAAAAAATGTGAGGGAAGAGCCTCTGGTCCACAACTGAGTACACACTAGGCTTTTAAATCTTACCAAGCTTATGTTGCAAATATTTATATTAAATGTACACCCTATTTATTGAAAGGACTAAGTGCTAACAAACAGCATCAAATATTAGGAATCAGTATAGGTACCATGTAATTTACTATATTGTTTTGTATTTCAGATGCCTTTGGTGCTTCATGAAGAATATTTCCAGATATATCACAGACATTAAGCCTTTGCCTCCAAACATAAAAGACAGACTGATTAAAATAATGAGTACCCAGGGGCAGATAACAGATTCAAATATAAGTGAGGTAAGAGTATGTATATTTGTAAAGCAAGCATATTATATTTTACTATTTAGATATGGTTTCAGATTTTTAGAGCAATGGCATATAGTAGGTTAGTAATAATGGTTTTTTTTTTAGGTTTAGTAATAATTTCAAAATATAATAAAACATTGGGGTTCTTTTTTTCTCTGCATATAACCAAATGTTTATGTGTAATAGTTACCTAAAAATCTTCTCCCACCATTCTTTCATCTGCTTCCCTTGTCTTCATCATACCAGCACCCTTGATCTCTACATTTTTTAAAAGTTTTCAGCTTTTTGAACTATTATAGCTCAATAAGGCTGGAAAAAATTAAAATGCAGGGTGAATACACAAATGGCAAAAAAAAACAAAAAAACCCACAGTAGGAAATATATGTTCTATTATGCCTCTGGTACACAAACCACATTTACATGTAACATACTGTGTGCAGTACACTTGAATATTTTCTATTTTGTTCTATTATGTCTTATTTCAATTTACAAAAATGTTGATCAGAGTCCACTACGTTGGTTTTATCCACTCATGGCTAACAATCAGCAGTTAAAAGCCACTCCTCTAAACTCATTCTTCTGGATACCTCCCTACTGCTAACTAATGCTCACTCTCCCTCCTTACAGCTAAGCTAAAATTGGCTATTCTGTAAGGCAATAAGTATAGTAAAGGCCTCCAACCCGATTTGAAATCCTAGCTTTGCCACTCTCTAACATTGAGCGTCAGTGCCCTTAACTATAAAATGGGTTTGCAGCCATCATCACTGTCTTCGGAGACTCTAGTCTAGACTAGACTAGTCTACTATAGAAACTCTGGTTCTAACTACCAATTGCTGACTTTAGTACACATTCTGCCCAAAGCCCGGAATCAAAAGGGAACAAACTGTGGTGATAGCACTCCAGCACATGACTGTCCCTGTGACCTCTCTTTGTAATTGCACTTACATGTGCCATTAGTGTTTCTTTTAACAGCCTGAGGTACCTGTAATGCTTTGATTTCTTCATGTTAGCTTGCACTGGAACATAGACATTTTAGTGTTGCAGTCTGCTTGACTCAATGGAGGTAGAATAATATCCCCAGGTTCTTACTGCCAGTGGTTCTGTGGATATATATAGTTTGTGTATGGCTCACAGAAGAAACATTATGAAACTACAGAAAATTGATGCTTTTCCTCATTTCCCCACTATCCCCATTTTGTTCTAACCCTTTAGCTTATATTGGAGTGGCTTAAATGTTCATTTTATGACCATCCTTAATATTCATTTAAACTTCATTTTACCTGAATAGGAAAGGGCTAAGGGGTGAATGAGATAGAGAAAAAACAGAAGTATGCTTTCTTTAGTGCTCTCTCTCAAATCCCTGTCCTATAAAATGGAGTCCTGCTTATTAAATTATTCAAAAAGCCAGATCTAACATCTGTTGCAAAGTTGAATGCATCATTGGATGGCTCTTTTTGAAATATTTCCTAAATCTTTTTATAGTTAGATGGAGGAGGCCTTTCTAAACATGACACCAAAGTTAGAAACCAAGAAGAAAACTATTGATGGATTTGATTACATAATAATATGAAATTTCTTACTGCAAGAAGAAAAAAAAAAAAGAAACAAAGTCAAGTAACAAACTAGGAAAAATATTTGCAATACACATGTAATTCTATAGATTTGTAACAAACCAATAAGAAAAATCAAAACAAATACTAAAACAGAAGAATCAGGAAATACTCAAAGGAAAAAATATAAATCACTATCAGTGTATAAAAGTATATTTAACCTCATTAGTAATAAAAGTCACAGTTTGTCTTTCAGTTTGGCATTGCCAGAGACTTAAAAAATAATAACACCCAGTGTTGACAATAGTGTGGGCAACAGTCACTTTGTCTCCTGTTGGTGGGAGTGTAAATTTATAAAAACCTTTTAGGAGGACAGTGTGGCATTAACTATCAAAAGTCCTTACTTACTGTGGACTCAAAAATTTTAGTCCTAGTATTTTTTCCAGTTTTATTGAGATATGATTGACATGTAACATTGTGTAGGTTTACAGCCTACAACATAATGTGATGATTTGATACATTTACATATTGCAAAATGATTACCACAATAGGGTTATTTAGCATCTGCATTTACCGTTTACTTCTGACATGAATCCCAAGAAATAATAATCAGGAAAGTACACAGTTATGCTCATCATAATACCATTTATCATAATAGTTGACAGTTACATATAACACATAAGTGAGACACCTTTATTTGTCACAAAATATTCTACCAATTTTAATAAAGAGGGTATTGAGGCGCATACACACACACTCACACACACACACACAAACCAGAATTGGATCACACTCAAAGGGTTCAAACTCAGGCAGTCTGCCTCCAGAGGACATGTTCTTAATTACTATACTATATTGCCTCCTAACTCAGCCTAAATGTTCAACTGAAGTGTTTGTCAATGTAGGATGCATTTAATACATTATGGTGCATTCATAAAATGGAATCATATGCAACCACAATAAGTTGTTTTTGTAAAAAATGCTCATCTTATATATAATCTGATCCCATTTTTCTTCAAAGTTTTTTTTTTTTTTTTTTTTTTTTAAGTCAAAAACCACCAAAACTAAAATGCTTTTCTCTGGGCATTGGTATGATGGGTAGTTTTAGTTATAGTGGATAAAATCATAGCCTTTGGAATTGGAAAGACCTGGTTTTCAATCTTAGCTCTGCTTCTTTTTTGCTGTGTACTTTGTGTTACTATTCAAGCTCTGGATGCCTCTGTTCCCTCCTTTATAATATGGTAATGACGAATCTCTCAGGAGTGTTTATGTGTTTGAGAAAGAGAGAATACTAAATGGCATCATGTATATAATGTACTTAGTACTCTTCTTATTTTTATAATTTGTCTATATTGTCTAAATCTTTTCAGTAATAATACATTACTTTTACATTCAGAAAAGTAAAGTTAGTTCTACTTTGGAAAAAATAAAGTAAAAAGAACGCCCAAGAAAAGAGCTCAAAACCCTTTGAAATTGATTTGCTATATTTGTTGCTTTCAAGTAAACATTCAGAAATACTGGGTCTGCTTGTACTAGCTCCCAATAAGAATGAAGGAGGTAAATGTTGTAGATAAGTAATATTCATATCCCATAACCATTCAGTGTCTAAGTGATTAAAGACTCATACCTGCTGAGCAGAGGCATGTAGCCAGGATCTCTAATAATAGTCAAGATCTACTGAAAAAAGATAAACACGTGCCACCACCTCGATCCTGCTTCTCAGGTCCCAGCAAAGATTTTGGGGATGCTAGAAGCTGCACCTCCAGTTAGAAGTGGGCTTGTATTTTTCCTGCCTTACATATGTGTCTCCACACAGATATGTCTTTGTATTCTCTGCTACATTTTCCATCCACCATTTATCTGATGGGACCACCAAAACACTGAATATGGAATAAACATTTATATGCATAGGAAAAATTAATTTTTAAATCATGTATTTTTTATAGATTTTACATCCTGAAGTCCAAACTCTAGATCTACGGAGCTGTGATATTTCAGATACTGCTCTCCTGCACCTGTGCAACTGCAGAAAGCTGAAGAAATTAAATTTAAGTTCCTCAAAAGAAAACAGAATTTCCATAACTTCAAAAGGTATGTTTGTTAACACTGAATACATTGGTAGACTACTATTCCTCATCTAGTATAATTTTGGAACAAAGAACGGGAAGGAGGGGTAGTAAATATGTCAAAAGTGAGTATGAAGATATCAAAGAAACAGAAACTGTATTTATCAATAAAAATATTCAAACTAAGGGGTGCCTGGGTGGCTCAGTCAGTTATATGTCTGACTTCAGCTCGGGTCATGATCTCACGGCTCATGGATTCGAGCCCTATGTCGGGCTCTGTGTTGGCAGCTCGGGGCCTGGACCTTGCTTCAGATTCTGTGTCTCCCTTGCTCTCTGCCCCTCCCCAACTCAAGTATATATATATATATATATATATATATATATATATATACACACACACTCTCTCTCTCTCTCTCTCTCTCTCAAAAATAAACATTAAAAAAATATTTAATATTCAAACCAAGCTAAAGAATCCAAATTAGAGTTCCTGCTTATAACCTTTGCTGAAAGTTAAGAATACACTAAGTCACTACTTGCAATTTAAACATATTTAAAATAAACATGGATGTTTGTTTGGATGTCTGTATTTTAAATATTTTTCCTGGTATAACAGAATAAGAAACGACCAGTTCATACTTTAAGGCTTTCTTGATGTAAAATTACAACAGAAAGTTAAATCATCATCAGAGTAAGCTTACTAAGTACTCTGCTATCAGTCTGTACAATGCATAGTTTATTTTTTGTTTTTATGTCTTTTGATTAAAAAAAATTTTTATTGGAGTAGGATTGACATACAATGTTACAATAGTTTCAGTGGTACAAACTTAGTGATTAGACAAGCCTGTATATTATGCAAAGCTCACCACAAGTGTTGCTTCCCTCTGTCACCATGCAAGACCATTACAATACCATCAACTATATTCCCTACGCTGTACCTTTCATCCCCTACAATGCATAGTTTTTAATAGCCAGTCAGACTGCATTTTTCAGTGTCACTATTGCATGAATTACAGAGTTTTTGCCCTTTTTTTCTATCAATATAGAATTTTAACCTTTCCCTTCAATATAAGAAAGAGAGACTATCGATGGATGAATGGATAAAGAAGATGTGGTAGGGGGAAGGGGCATTAAGGAATCTATTCCTGAAATCATTGTTGCACTATATGCTAACTAACTTGGATGTAAATTTTAAAAATAAATTAAATTTAAAAAAAAAAGAGGGACTAATTTGTCTAGCTAGGTTTCTAGAAAGTTTTGTGAGTAGTTGGCTATATTTTGCAGTCATCTTGGTTAGCAAGTTAGGCTACCTATAATATTACAAAGAAGCTTAAGTTTTTTAGATGTTTACACAAATAGTAACTCACTAAAAAGAACTTTCATGCTGGACACTGATAAATAAAATAAAAGTTCTTTTGGGGGGTAAAAAAAATAAAAAATCTAAGTTCTTAAGATACAGAGAACAGTAAAAATGACCTACATATGAATTTACCATCTTCCCTTTTGTGTACTTTGCTCATAAAGCTATCTTTTAACACTGTTGTAATGTGTGTGCATGATTAAAGGGCCCAGGATTCCCAAAGTACTCTCTTATTTATGTGGCTCATTATCATGTACCAGTCTCCAATGTGCATTTATATCAGTTTAATTGGATTTAAGAGTCAAAGGGGGAAGAGAGAGTGCAGAAACATATGTATGATTCCTAAGGATAACAATGAAAACTATTACCTAAGACATTGGGGTAATTTAACTTTTGATTTCCCTTCAGAGTCCACAAGAAAATTAACTCTATTACTTTAAAACTTTTGTTTTAACAAAAAGACTTATCTACTATTCAATTGCCTAATTTGGTTCTGAATAACTTTTGGCTGTTTCCTAAAGGCAAATCTACTTGTCAACAATAAAGCCTTGCCATTCATTACAGATATTCTGAATGATATACTACAGACTATGTAGAGAATTCCTGAAACTTTCCAAAAGAGTTTTAATAATGGCAGCATCACTGGAAAATAAGTATATCCTCACAGACGGACTACTTTGCAAAAGGCTAACATACAGTTGGATACATCAATACTGGTGACTGCTAAAATGAAAATCAGTCACATTTCTCATATATATGAATATATAGCTCATTGATACATAATTATGTTTCCCCTCAGGAATAAAAGCAGTGGCTTCCTCCTGTTCATACCTGCATGAAGCTTCTTTGAAAAGATGCTGCAATCTCACTGATGAAGGAGTCCTTGCTCTTGCACGTAACTGCCGGCTACTAAAGATAATTGATTTAGGTGGCTGTTTAGGTATTACTGATGTGTCCTTACATGCATTAGGAGAAAACTGCCCATTTTTGCAGTGTGTTGATTTCTCAGCTACGCAGGTAAATGAAATACAGACTTACTATATAGAGACTGTATGTGTTTGCCCAGTGAACTTCCATGACTCATCAGAAAAGCATAATTAATTCTTTTGGTTGTTGTTGAATTTGTTGACTACCTCATGCTTCACTGTTTATATAATTGCAATATAATTTGGCACATTTCCCTCAATTATTTTAAGTAAGGGTGAAAAAGATAAGTGTGGCTAAAACAAATGTTTGCTAAATGGGAGGCGATAAAACTATACATAAATGATTAATAATATTCAGAAAATTTTAGTTCCATCTTTCCCATTTGTGTGCTGTGTTGCTTTTTCTCTTTGCTTAGGTGTCAGATGATGGGGTGGTTGCGCTTGTTAATGGACCTTGTGCCAAGAAATTAGAGGTAATTTTTAAATATCTATGAAGTTGGTGCTGACTAAATTCTTTATATTATCGTCAGAAATTATTTTTTGAATGTAGCAAACAACCAATGCCTTATAAATTAGGTGTTTCCATGGCATTATTTTGATTGGGTTTGCTTTGGGTTTTTGCCTCCACCTCTTTATTTCCAGAGTGAAGAAAAACAGTAAAGTTAGATAAAGCATGCTTCAAATAAAAACCTATTCTGCTTCTAACAAAAGGTCTCATTTTCCATAAGTTTTAGTTTCTAACACATTTAAGGATAATCTTATTATGGGCAAAGATTATGAAAGTTTATCAGTGTAAAAATTACATTCTTTAGAATCTTCATTGCCAGGACTACTTAGTCCCTTACTATTCTATTTTCTTAATATACATGAAGGGATTCAGAATATGCCAGTCACATAAAACTTATTTTGAGCTAAAGATGTTTAAAAATCAACAGATGCAGGCGCCTGGGTGGCTTAGTCAGTTAAGCATCCGGCTCTAGATTTCGGTTCAGGTTGTGATCTCATGGTTAGTGAGTTCGAGCCTCACATCAGGCTCTGTGCTTGCGGTGTGGAGCCTGCTTGTGATTCTCTCTCTCTCTCTCTCTCTCTCTCTCTCTCTCTCTAACCCTCCCCAGCTTACTCTCTCACTTTCTCTCAAAGTAAATAAACTTAAAAAAAATCTACAAATGCAAAAAGAGGCTTTGTCTGAAACACACACACACACACACACACACACACACACACACACACACCCCATCTGCCTAAAAACAGAGACTTCCAAAAGCACTCAACTGCCTCGAACCCCTTTCAAGGAAGACTACCCAATACCAGGAAGATTGCTTCCATCACTGGAGGAATCAAATGAGAAATTACATAAACAAACATTATCACAAGACTGTCATACCTCCTTTACTCTCTAAAGGCCCATTTTGTTTTCCCTAAAAGTCATCTGTTTTTCTCTAAGTGTCCTATCTCCCCCTCCCTTTCTCCTGTTAAGATGATATATAAACTCAAAATCATAGCCATTTCTTTGAGCCACTTTCTTTGTGAGCTAGTGTGTGAATAAACTTTGTCTTTTCTCTTGCTAGTCTGTCTTTGTCAGTTTAATTCACAAGCTCCCAAAGATAGAACATAATAGAATAGAGAAAAAGGTTTCCTCCCCAACAGCTGCATTGTACAGCTATTTAAAAAGATCCTAAATTAGTGTGCAGCCCTTCCATTCAGTGACTGATGTGGCACCTATAACCTGTTTCTAAATATATTAAGAAGCCTTTTATCCCAGGATTTTGATTTCCGCCTTTCCCAGTTTATATTGGGGTTTTTTAAGTCTTATTTAATATAGATGTGCTTTATATTAATAAGCCACATCAAATGTTTTTTGGAAGTAAACAGGCTGTAAATGAATTATAAATGTTAATACTAACTATCATAATAGAATAGCAGTGCCATGTTTTTGCCCAAATATTTCTCCTTGAGTTATTGCCCTGAGATATTTTTTTGTTTTTATATCTGCATGCTGCTTGTATGTATGTGTGTTTGCATGTGTATGTGTATATATACATACATATAGCATATATATTTTTACAAATCCTTTGATTAACAAATTACCGTATTTCTTATACCAAGTTCCAATATTCCAAATTGCATCCTAACTGTAGGGGTAATAAACTCTGCCATAACGTTTACTGTTTGAAATACTAACATTTGTTGAGCACTTACTATATATTACATACTGTTGCCTTATATTCATTAGGTTATCTAATTCTTACAACAACATTATCCTATACTCATCATAATTTTTTTTAAGTTGAGAGAGAGAGCATGAGCAGGGGAGGGGATAGAGGGGGGCGGGGAGGGAGAGAGAGAGGGAGAGAGAGAGAATCTCAGTCAGGCTCTACACTCAGCACAGAGCCTGATGCAGGGCTTGATCCCATGACCCTGGGATCATGACCTGGGCCACAATCAAGAGTCAACACTCAACCAACTGAGCTACCCAGGAGCCCCCATCATCATTTTTGATAAAGTTCCCAAACAGTTAATACAGTTTACCATTCCCAAATAAAACTACCAGGAAATTAGATGTTATGCAGTGATAGGCATATTTACTTCAGTGTTACAAAACTAGGAGCACCAACCTAAGCAGACTTAGGAAGAGATTCAGGAACCAATAAGTGTTGGCAATTATACTGCCATATCATTCAATTTTTCATATTTTCAAACTTACAAATCTTATTTCTTTAAGTGCCAAAATATTTCAATGGAAATATTTCTAAACTTTATTAGAAGTTGGGTCACCTGGGTGGCTCAGTCGGTTAAGCCTCTGACTTCAGCTCAGGTCATAATCTCACGGTTCAAGCCTCACATTGGGCTCTGTGCTGACAGCTCAGAGCCTCGAACCCACTTCAGATTCTGGGTCTCCCTCTCTCTCTGCCTCACCCCGACTCACACTCTGTCTCTCTCTATCTCTTAAGAATGAATAAACATTAAAAAAAATTTTTAAAGAAGGGACACCTGGGTGTCTTAGTCGGTTAAGCATCCAACTTTGGCTCAGGTCATGATCTTGCAGTTCATGAGTTC